AATCCGCTGTGTGAGTTCGAAAAGTGAGTTACAGAATCGCAGGGCTGCTCGTTTATAACGAAAAATGATAAGGTTCTTTATGTCTACTGGAATTTCCCGAAACCTTGTTCTTAGTGACATTCCTATTCTAGATCATTAAATATATTTTATTATGACTGGAGTATTAACAGTTATTCACTAATAAATGTATCACAAACTTTTTCATATTCACGCTTCAATACCACACGGAGTGAAAAATATTACATAAATGAAAAATCACGATGCTTTCGAAGGGGAAATAAAAATTCATAATCATGTTTGAGCACGAGTTTTTGAAGAGCGATGCGAGTCTCGATTGCTTCGTTCGATTCAATTCATGAAATAGTGGAAATCGATTCGTTGAAAAACGTTGCCGATGAATTAATCTTTATAATCTTTTTTTATTACATTTTTATATCACTCATTCGTAAACAAATGAAGAAATTGCAAGCTTATTATTTTATATATAATTTTCATTTATAAATGTAAATTAGTCTAAAACTCACTACTCACAAAGAATTCATTTTTCAATGCCGTTTTTGACATACATACATATAGCATACACAAGATGTAGTATTCTAAAGGTGTAATATTTTTTTCTTCTTTTTTAAATATTCCAGTAGTTCTTAAGTTAACCGACTTTAAAAACCGAAGTGGTGTAGTAGTGTTGATTGGCTATGCCATAAGAATTAATGTATGAAGTTTGTATAAGAACGGGCAGTAGGCTCACCTGACCAGCTGACCAGACACCGAATAGAGTCGCAATTCCGTTGCCAGCCTTTTACAAATTGGTACGCTCCTTTTATAAAGGACCCTAAGTCAACTTAGTTTGAAAAAGTTTGATGGAGAGCGAAGTATTGCTATGTTAAGCGCTTATATATTTCTACAAATTTATAAGACACAACTAATTAGTTATTTAGTTTTGTTTATGAATGAAATAAAAATATTTGCCTAGCATAAACATCTTTCATAAAAAATATATTATAACACATTTAATGTGCTTATTTTAAAAATTAGAAAATAGATATACACTGAATTGAATGAAACTTATATAAATTTAAGTAAATATTAACTATTATAACTCTGATAACACTGAAATTACTGTCAATTTAAATATTGTACTGGATCGTTTGCGATCTTAATTTGAATTTCATAATTTAAATATATATGAACAATATTCTGATTACGCATAGGATCTGTCCCACGTTTTATTATATTTGCAAAGATTGAAAAGGGCTCGTTTGAATTTGATTTTCATGATTCAGTAATGTCTTCATTATCATAATTGTACGGAGTGAAATGTGCGTCGTTTTTTTAATAAAATTATTTTATTTAAGCGAGATTTTTTAGGATGTTTTTTCAACAATATAAAAGGTTGTTACAATACTTCTATAGCGGTTCTATACAATTTCAAAGTTGTGATAGCTCGTGAATCGGACAAGCATGACCAGACTGTGAACCAACAGTATTTTTTAAATTATCCTATAAAGAAAACCATTGTATGTTTTTAATAGTACAGGGGGCAAACGAAAGAAGGCTCGTAAGTGTGTTGTATGCCTTTAAGGAACTCGTAAGCTCTTATATTAAAGGACCCTAAGTTGAATTGGTTCGAAAATACTTGATTGGCGAGCTGGTGCCCGGCAAACAGTGCCTTAAAAAGAGCTCAGTTGTGGAACGACAGACGTCGAGGTGATATACCCTATTTTTCTAAGCAGAAAACTGAAAGTACGAAGATCAAGGATTGTAGCGAAACTATTATTTACTTTAAGTCAGTATTTCTGGCAGATCATCCGCTAATAAATCCAGCAACTGCCACTTGTAACCCCAAGGCATATTCTAATCACTTTGACATCAAACGTTTTGAAATAGAAGTTATTACGCGTAGTGTAAATAAATTAAAATACAAACATCAATGGCGCTACAACCATTTTAGATCTGGGCCTAAGATTTGTATCTGTTTCATGATCATTTGGCAATGTAATAGGCAAGTAGGTGATCAGTTCGGTGACTGACACACGCCGTCCACTTTTTGGGTCTATGGCAAGCCGGATTCCTCACGATGTTTTCCTTCACCGTTCGAGCGCATGTTATATGCGCACATAAATGGAAAGTCCATTTGTGCACAGCCGGGGATCGAACCTACGACCTCAGTGAGAATCGCACGCTGAAGCCAGTAGGCCAACACTGCTCGTATATATATTATAATAAAAAATAATATATTAAAAATACCCCCCGGTCCAGATATGATTATTATTATTATTACGCTTATATCATTAAATTCATATGATTTAATAATACATATATGCATGTTTTCAATATTATTTCATATCCAGGGCTCTACCCAACGTTATGAAAGACATTCTTCGTGACCCCAGTTATTCAAGTAATTTGTAGAAGCAAAGTCGAAAACTACAGCCCTATTACAATTCTGTCAAGAAGGTTCAACTTCTTTCCTTACCTTTCTTTACCCTACGTTCCCTAGGTTCTTGATGGAGATTTTAGGGTATGACTCCTTAGAACTTAGTATAAATTTAGGTTTGATCAAATGGAGTGATGGTTTAAGCAGCAGGAATAACGAAACGGAAGGAGCATAGTTGCTGGGAGAGTTTATGAGACTACGTTCCGGACAATTATCATGGCTGCCGGAACCATAACCAAGTGTGCCAAGTGGAGGTCTCTATCTCTGGGAAACAGGCGTAAGTTATATAAATGAAAGAGAAATACTACACAGACAGGCTTTAATTTACTATTGACGCCATTTTACAGCTTCGTTATACGGAACTCAATACCCTTTAAATGAAGCTGTTATAACCTGCGTATATAATACTCGCAGTTTATGAGTATGGCTTGATAGTCGTATATCATAAATTATCGGATAAAAATTTATATACATTATATTTTTAAAGCGTATTATTTTAGGCGAAATAGAATCGGAATTAATATTACAGTTAGGTAGTTTATTAGATGTTTAAAGGTAACTATAAACATCTATATAACTGACATCAACTTTAGGAACGTGATGCTGCGATGTTAAAAAAAGGAAACATTGATCGGTCGCAAAATGGATGTATTAATAGCACCAAATCTAGAAGCACATTTCTGTTGTCAGTTCTATGTCATAATTGATAATATAGGGTGTCTCAGTAAGAGTGCACTTTTTCATTTTTAAATAAAGACAAGTATTTTATGACAGAGTTCTGATATTTTTATTGCATTGTAAAGAAGACATGTTCCGATCAAGTATGGAATAAAATGTCCGGCAAATAACCTCCACGGCTCCGATGACAGGCCATTACACTTTTCATGAAATTTTCCATGACTTTTGCACAGAGATGTGGCTGTATCTCACCGATGACGCGTTGGATTTCCGATTTGAGCTCAGGAATACTTTCGGGTTTATTCGCATAAACTCGAGATTTCACAAAACCCCAAACGAAAAATCGCACGGCGTTAAATCGCACGATCTTGGTAGTCCAGGTCCGGTGATCCAGTTGACATCAGAATTTCGTGAGATAATGTGTTCTGTTCATCGGAGAAAATGACTTTTTTCGAAAAATTGGCATCGACTTCCCTTTGCTCCATTACTCATTGAGCAAATTGCCGGTGCTTTCCTTGGTCTGCTGGTTTGAGCTTCTGAGTTAAGTGAATCTTGTACGCATGAAGGTCTTTAGTCAAAATTTGCTGCGTCGAATTGATGTTTTCGGGTATTCGGCGACACTCTCGTTTACAGCAGTCAGCAGCAATGTTTTCAAGGGACAGACCGGTACGTTGACGCAAAAGATTCTTATTATCCATAATTAACCCAGTTTCTTAAAATTTTTTGACCGCTCTTCGAATGGTTGACACATTAGGTGCACTTTCTCGGCTGAAAATTTGGTGAAGTTTGCGAACGTTTTCATCGTTACTTTTGTAATGAGTTTTCACAATTATAACTTGTTGTTCTTTCAAAAAGCGCACCATTTTTAATAATCGGAATAAACAGAGGTGACACCTGTCAAATTTCAGAGTCGTCACTTGCAGGAAAACAAAAATATTACAATTTTAAAAAGTGCACTCTTACTGAGACACCCTATAGATCTCGTCAAATTAAACTATACTCATATTCAATATTTATATAGTAATATTATGAACCTAATTGTCTGTTTGAATAAACCTCAGGAACTATGTTTTACTAAGCAGGTTAGAATTGAAAATTTACGCTAATACTACAAATTATTACATAAATCGTTTCTTCGCTTCGTATCGGTCTCACGAAGATCAATCAAATCCACGAATTATGTAAAGTATTTAAACAAAATCGTTTATCGATTTTAGAACACTGACTCTCATCCCGGCTGTGCACCAATTGACTTTAAGTCTAGGTGCGCATTTAGCACTTGCTCGTACGCTGAAGGAAACTATCGTTAAAACCGTAATGCCTTAGATACAAGAAGCGACGGCGTGTGTCAGAATGCTGTTCACCTACATCCCTATTTAAAACAACAAGATATGAAACTGATCATGAAACAGATACAAAAATTTGAGTCCCAGATATAAAAGGTTGTAGCGCCTGGTTGTTGTATCTGCTTAAGAAATCCGTAATTTATCTTATAAACTTCGTATAAAGTATTAATTTAGTATTAACATGATATTATCTGAGGGAATAGACAAAGAAAGTAACGAGAGTGCTATCCTAGGGATCGAAATAGAAGCAAGGAAAGACAGGTGAGGTGTTGAGGGGATGACATAAGAAGGAGAGCCGGGGTAGAATGGTATAGAAAAGCGAGGGACAGATCTATATTTGTAGGAGGCCTTTCTTGAGAGACAAGCTGAAAAATTGTTATAGTGTAAAAATTACTGTAAGTGATTGTATAAAGAAACATTAGAGTACTTACAGCAATCAATTTATTTTATTTATGTTTTGATATTGTCAGAAAGGTTTATACAATTGGGCTAACAAATATATTCACTAGTTTTTATTTAAATACAAGTATTTTATTAAATCAATCTTCACTGAAAACGGTTCTTATTAAAGAAAAATAAGACCACGTTGTACTCACTACCTGAAAATACAAGAAAAAAAAAATATTGCTTTGAGCTATGCAAAAGCTATGTAAGTGCGTGCTCCTGTTTCACCATGCCTCCTGCTGATAGAGGACAAATCTTTATTTTAAATTTATTTTATTATTATTTATTACTTAAGATGACATGTGGAACATGGTGAAATGGTTGCAGCTCCTTACATACGTTATGTAAAACAAAAAACTTGGCGATTAAAAAGAGTGGCGGAGAGTTTATTGCCAGTTCTTCTCCTCCATTTTACGCCCTTGATTTGAGAACTGGCAGTAAATGTAAAATTAGAAGCATTTAATGTATATTTCTTTTTTGGCGTTCATAATTGTACATTGTGTTACCTATATGAATAAATGATTTTTGACTTGACTTGAAAAAACTAAAGAATCCAATGACTAACCCGCGAGAACGTGTTTAGTGTTATCGGAGCATATCCCATCGATGTTAAGCAACAAGGTTTTTGAGCCCTGTAAATATTAAAAATCACTTTCATTTGCCACACACATTCTTTCTTCATCTTCCTGTGGGATAGTCTGCTTCTCAGCATAATGCACAAGGTCAATTACAATACAGCACACACGTATTACACACTTGAAACGAACCGAAAGGGAAAAGGTTTTTTTTTTTTATATTTCTCATAAAAAAAAAAATTCTCGTTGATTATTATTATTGTGTGTTGATGTGTGTGTGTTTTTGTTAGTAATATTACGTCTATGTCTATAACATCTCTTTTCAAGCATCATAGCCTTTCATTGGGATGCCGCATTTCTAAACAATGATTTGCTTTTTTCCATTGCCAAAGATTCTTTAACTAAGACGTGGGTCTGTGCTGTCTTTCTACCTGCCACTTTGCCTTTGAATAAGCTAATCACACATATTACAGTGTTTAAATCTTCATTCGACAGCACCTCCAGAAACAGAAAACCTTACGGAAAAAAAAATTATGCAGTAGGTACTATATCAAAACTATGTGTGAAAAACACAATTTATATGTATTTCCTTATTTCGTCGTGGAAATTGTTAGAATAAGCTGGTGTGTGTACATTCCATTATGATTTCTTATTGTAGATTCGTGAAAGTACAGGTTTGTTTAGCTTATTGTAGCAGCATTTGGCGCTTATAATTCTTACAATAATGCAATATCATAAATAGGGAAGTTTATGAATTTTTAACTAATGGATATATACTACTCAAGCGTCAAAAAAACGGTTCCACACAAAGCAAACACTACTAATAAGTACCTTGTAATGACGAAATGAATAATCCTTTTATAGCTTTCGCTGCCTTGGTACCATTTGTTATCATAGGCCGCTTCGGCAATACCAACGCACTGTAATAACAATTTTAGGACACAAACTATTATTGGTAGAAAAATATTCCCTGCGCAGGTTTCCTACTCGTTTAGTTGTATTATTAAACTACGACATCAAAAGAGAGGTGTTATTAGTTTGACGTGTCTGTCTGAGCCATTGTAGCTAATACAAAATACAAACAATGCGTTTTTTTGTTAATCTAGATCAGTGTGTCCAACCTTTTTGGTGCCCCCCTTACCATACTCCACCTTAGCCTTTCTTAAATTCTTACATAAGATAGCAACGTAAATGAAGTAAATATTCAAAACATATAATTAAATTCAAATTCCAAATAATTTTAATAAACTCTCGAATAGGCCCTTAAAAATAAAATTGCCCCCCTGTAATAAAAGCCCCACGTTTGAAATTACTGATCTAGATTAGATCTTAGATCTTATTTACAATTTATGAAGAGTAAAACGTAACACAGTCCTCAGCTGTTTTTGTTAGCTACGGCAGAACAGTCGGGGTTATTTATTTATTATTAGATATTATTAATGTAAAGAATTACCCAAACATAAACGATAGTAGTTCTAATTGTAGTAAAATGTGTGACTTATAAACATGGTTGAAAAATGTTTACTCGGCCTAGTTACTTGTTCTGTTCTTCAGCACGCAACCGAGTGCTTAAATATGATTGGGGAATCGGTCGCAATGTCAAGGCCATCATGTCAACTCGTATTGGAGATGCTGTTGTTCAATCGGTATCAAATAAAACGCACTGTTTCAACTTTCACCTCACATCCAACCAAAGGGAATTCTCGTTGATGTTCACTTAAAACATCATTTGTGAACACAAAAACTATAAAAATAAAACAAATTTTTGGATCGAACCATTTCGCGCGTTGAAAGTGCCCAATGTATTTTTCTCTCGTGATATATTTCTAATGAAAATCATAAACATCATAATCAATTAAACGGGCGCATCTCCCCCGTGCCCCACTGGGTAGTGAGCATTGTGTTTCATTATTACCTCTTCTTTCACTTGTTCACTGTAATAGCAAAATATGAATACGGGGAGTAATAAGGCAATGACGGAGAAGAAATCGTTAACAAGCTCCACAACACCCCCTGCCACCTACAAGCATTTATAAAGTTAATTTTTGCTTAAACAAATAACTTTTTCAGGATTAACTAACCCGGGCTCTAAATTTGTGGTAGGTTATTTATTTATTAAAGTTTACCACATCATACACAGTATGTACGATATATGTTACAAACTCTTTTATCTAAAATGTTTGTTTCGTTAGTAATAAATGTTACGTCTGTCTATGTCTATGTCTAAAATGTATGACAATTTAGGTACACATAAATGTTACAAAAAAGAAAAAAATACAATTTAAATATGTACAAGATAAAATAAATATACCAGAAATTATTGTTAAGTAGAAAAGAAAATTACCAGCAAAACAGAGCCATCTGCCGGGCTGATTTGTGAATCTAAACTATCCATGGCGCCACCTAAACTCATACGTTGTAAGGAGTTCAGTGACACACGTACAGTAGAATTATATATATAAAGATGAATCGTAAAGGAAAATATCGTGATATGTCAAAAACCGAAAATTGCCCCCAAACACAAAAGGCTGATCGCTGGCTTGCCTTTACGCATACTGCGTATTCACATCAGATGTGTGACACATCTCTCTGACGAGATCGGTGCAGCCGGTGCGCGTTAGAGTGAGACAGACTATATAGTTAGTCTGAGTCTGGTAGAGTGGTACGAGTAGATTGAATTAATTTATCAAAGAAAAAACTTGAATTAATATCAAAGAAAAAAAATACTGCATAAATAAATAATTATAATTGCATTAGTTGAAAAAAAATTATGCAGTCCCCGAGTGCCACACGTTCTTTTTTTAAATCTGATGAAACGGTTTACTTACGGTAGCACCAAATCCGAAGAGACACATTATACCAGTTACAAATAGTAAATCGAAAAATAAAATTTTATTGAAAATTTCATCGAGCAATTGCGTGTACCTGTAAATAATATTATCTCATAAACCGCTTGCCTATAAACCCCGTTTAACTTCAAATTATTGTTTTAATTGCAACAGAATTTTTGTAATAGTTAAAAAATTTAAAAACTAAAATAATTTAATATGAATATTTTTAAAAGCATTGCATTTTAAAAGATATTATAAAACAGTATCGGCCTAGTGGCTTAAGCGTGCTACCATGATCTTTTAGGTCATGTGTTCGATTCACGGCTGTGCACATGGAGTTTTCTGTCTGTGGCCTTGCACTTGCAGTTACGGCAAACATCGTGAGGAAACCGGCAGATCTCAAACTCGATGAGAAATATCAAAAAGCTGCACCGAATGCTGATCACCTGCTAGTCTATAAAGTCAAAATGATTGTAGAAACAGATGCATACTGAGCCCATATATAGGGTTTTAGCGCCACTGGATTATTAATATTATCACACTAAAGAGTTTCTTTTGTTTTGAATATAAAACAAAATTTGTTAGAACACTCTGTCCGCGATACTCGAATAATCAACACTAACTTCAGCAGTCAAATCTTTTACAAGAAACATACTTCAAACAGGATCCAGATTCTTAACTTTCGCTGTTATTTTGGTCATTAAAAAAAATTAGTTATAGAAACTATCAATCTTATTGCACCCTCTTAAAGTACTCTTTGTGTCGTTTTGGGAAGGAGGCTCACCTGACGTTAAGTGATAAGTGCCCATGGTCACGTACTGCCAGAAAGCTTTTGTTGCCGACCTATTAATAATTGTTACGCTTTTGTCCTTAGTCGTAAATACTTCAGAAGGTAGCTAGTTTCACATAGTGTGCCGTTTTCAGCAAAGTACTCAACTGTCAGACTAGCTTTGGAGTATACATACTTACATCAAGAGCTGTTGATGTTTTTGAACAAGATTTTTTAGTGCAGTATTATCTGATTCTTCTGATTCGGGTTCAATGTGTCTAAAATCATCTCTGAGTATTGAAAATTCAGCACTAAGTAGTGCACATAGAGTGACCATCAGGATTTCAATCCCAATATAGACATATGTAAAGCGAAAAGCTAAAAAATATTAAAAATACATCAAACATTTGAATGTCTTTAAATTTTTAGATCGTAAACACATCTTAAAATTATGTAAAAAGTTTTTATTAGATGACCAGTGTCGGATCTACCAGCAGGCTGACGAATTTTTTTTGCTACCTCATAGAAATATTTTTGATTTCTGCAGGACAGTTTTCTGACGTTTTACAAATAGAAGTCTGCAACAAATTACTATTTCCCTCTTCCTCTTATCAACCCATATATATCATTCCCACTACTGGTTGGACTGACTGCAGCTAGTAGTAGGAATATGTATGGGTAAATTATACAATATACACGGGTTTGATTTGTGCTCAAAAATCAGATCCAAAATTATTTATCTTGCAATTTCAACGAAACTGTTCGATTTAAAAATAATCTAGGACTTGACAATTGTAGAGGCAAAGGCGGCAAAAACTTCACAGCCTATACCTTGAAAATATGAAAATCCGCAACTATACATGACTCATCCGCGCAGGTTCTGCAACCACCTAAAAGCGATAATAATTGCGAACCCGTACCGTTAAGTTTTTGGACCACACGATACCATCATCGCTACGATATTGAGATTAAACTTCGGGATCGGCATGCTGTTGAAAGCTAGGTGTATTAAGAATTCGTTTGACTCTAGATATAATAACTTCTAAAAGGGATAGTGAGCGAAAATTGCCAGACAAAGACGATAAAACAAAAGACGATAGCGCGTTTCATTTGATTATAATTGGTCAACAGTATTTACTGTACTGTAGACGCTACACGATTAATATTTACAATTGATCCCAAACAAACGAAGCGCACCATCGCCTATTAAATGGTTTCCCCTTCAGTGGTTATATAATTGTATTAAGAGATTGTATAATTACCTGAGTACATCTCATAAACATAAACCAAAATATACGTGATCCAATCTTTTCGTGGATCGAAAGGAAAAGCCACTCCAAAAGGCAATAGCAGGATTGTATCTTGCGCCATGGCAAGTTTGACTATTGTCACCAGGCCTGGCGCAAGCTCAATATTCCAGCACGCCAGCATACTACCCCAATAGTATACTGGAAAATAAAATTGGTTTTGAGTTAATAAATGAATAAAAATATAGTCCATCAACAGCGCCCGTAATCTGTAACTTCATATAATATAAATAGCGAAACCAATCCCGCATTTGTATACCACTTCGATGTAGTTCTCTCAAAATCCGTAGCGCCTTGAAATTTTAAAAGGCCGGCAACGCACGTGCTAGCCTTCTGGCAATGTGAGTATCCATGGGCGGTATCACTTACAATCAGCTGCCTGCTTGTTTGTCTTCAATTACAGAATTTTAAAAATTGCGTAAAAAATCTCTAATAAGTAGCGCTATATGACAAAGTAAGGCCCCGACATTCGAAATATTAGATAATAATAAATGTAAGAAAGCGACTTATAACAACGGCTGTTGTTAGCGCTAAAATAGGATTAAAATTGTTACCCACTTTTAAGACAAACATCCATTCGTTTGAATATAAATTTCTTACTGCGGATTTGTCGTTCGTTTAAATTGCCTTTAGTCCAAGTTGCTCCCAGTTTCTCAATAAGTTCAGCGATATTCTTTTTTTTCGGTATGAGTAGTATTCCTTTGATAGTAGCTACAACATTATTAGTTTGTAAGGCTTTATGCTTATTGTAAATGTAATGTAAAGTATAGCTGTTATATTTTGTAGGATTTTAATAACAAAAACCCCAGTGGTGCAAGAACCTTTTTAGGTCTGGGCCTAAGATTTCTGCATTCTGTTTCAAGACAAATTGACAAATTAGTCAATCTATTTGGCAAGTAGTTGATCAGCCTCCTGTGCCTGACACACGTCGACTTTTGGGACTAAGGCAAGTCGGTTTAATCACGATGTTATCCTTCACCGTTTAAGCGAATGTTAAATGCGCACAAAGACAGAAAGTCTATTGGTGTACAGCCGGAGATCGAACCTACGCCCTCAGGGATGAGAGTCGCACACTGAGAGGTTAACACTGAGCGATTTTAGTTTACGGATGTAAAAGCCAAAAGCGGAAATGACGTTGAAATTCCGGTCGTCACATAATCGTTAACAAAGATATGGATGAAATGGACTGAGTAAAAAGTTTGGCGTCGTGCCTAAAGGGCCTCGCTGAAAAAGTTTTCCAAACATAACTTACCTACTCACGTTCCTTTTTCAAAAAACTTTATACACCAAGGTATAGGTATCTTAAGTGTTCTTATTATCGGTTTTATATACTTTGAAAAGTCCAATTAAGAGCTATGAAACATCAATCACCCTGAGGCCACTGTTGACATAGTACTCAAGCCAGTGTGCGACTCCCAGGTTTGAATCCCGCCTGTGCATCAATGGACTTTCTATATGCGAATATAACACTCGATCGTATGGTGAACTATCGTGAGATAAACGTCATTATTAGACCCTAAAGGTGACGGCTTGTGTCAGACACAGAAGAATGACTACTTATTAGAAAAAAAATGATCAAGAACTGTTTCTTGATCATTTTTTTAAAGAGAGCCCAGACAAGCTAGCCTCAAGGTCTTTTTTTTTTCAAAAACCGGAACAATTTTCCAACAATATTCTTATAAGGTCATTGACCGCATTTAGAAAGGAAAACCAATAATATGTATTGTTCTTTGCTTTAGTGGATTTTGGAGTAGGCTACATTAAAAAATGTATTTTGACAATACGGCCAAAGAATCTGTTTCTTTGAACGTGCTGGGAGTACTGGCTTGAATTTAAAAATGTATGTATTTGGTAGTCCATATCGTGGCTACGTAAAGCTAGAAACAGAGAAGAGTGGAAGCCCTTAGAGGAGGCCTATGTCCAAAGACAAACTGTATTACAGAAATAAACCGGCTTGCCGAATTATTAGATTTTATTTTTTTATTTTTAATGTTAATTATTTAGTGTTTCTCATGTTTATGTACTAGTATATATATATATAGTAGATACAAAAACCCTTTAGTCACTAAGACCTTCTCGTAAAAACCAACTGATTCCACCTACATCCAGACTAAAGTTACATCAATCAGGAATATTGAAATTCAAATAACCTGAGGTTTACCAAATTTCTAAAGGAATTATTACATAAGAAATGTTATTACACTGTTACAGAGTATCTGACTGATAGATTTTAATTTCTTTATAAAAGTTAAGTTTATTAATAATGTATAGGATAGTAAAACTTTTCTATACACCTAATAATAATAATGTAATCGCAACGTGAAACCAAAGTAAATATTCCAAATAAATAATGTATCTTATAAGAACAGCCCTCCGATTCTGTAACTCACTTTTCGAACTCACACAGCGGATTTCGCATCGACGGTCGCTCTCAAATCAGTCGTGAAGCAGTCATTTTATGATTTGGCATTCTAATAATCAATAAACTACAAGCTCCCACCTTTTCAGAATGCCAAATCATAAAATGACTGCTTCACGACTGATTTGAGAGCGACCGCCGATGCGAAAACCGCTGTGTGAGTTCGAAAAGTGAGTTACAGAATCGCAGGGCAGGAATGTATAAGAATATAATGAACTATAATAAAGCATGCCCTCTCACAACATTGCTGTGCCTAGCCAAGGTATTCATTATTGTAATAAATTATGTACATAAGGAATGCAATAAAGATTTGAGTTTGAGTTATAAGTAATTACAGCAATAAAGGCTTTTATTATTATTATTATTATTAGGTGTATAGAAACGGCGGGGCAATGTTAAAAATTCATTATTTATTTAATGTTTTTTGTGGTTCTCTCGTCTTGCCTTGATGACTTGACTTATGACATGATATTTTATATTCCCATCATTGGATTAGAGTTATAATTACTATATTTGTACATTCATATTTTTTAATAAGACTAATTTATTTCATATTGCATTTCATACTTACCTTGTATCATAATCAAGGAAATCGAAATCTGGTACGCAACCTCTGATAGTGAAACATCCCTCGAAAACATGTTGATTGTATACAGAGCATTGCCTACAAAGAAAACTATAATACATGGTATCATGTACAGAATATGTATTTTTTTCCAAATGGAATAATCATTCCATATTTGAAAATTAGAACGGCTTAAGACATCAATACTTAGAAAAAGTGGTTTTGACACTTCCTCCGGAAGTCGTTCCATAGTGGTGGAATAAGCTACAAATAATCAATGTTTGCATTTATACTAAAGAGTATGAATTTTTAATTTTGTTGGGCATATGATATAATAACGATTCATTTGGAATTCCGTAATACAGGACAGGATAGAGAATGAATTTTGTTTTTCATTGATATTGTCTCTCTTTGGTAAATAATTAATTATATTAGTTACACATTGGCGTAAAATAAATAATAGAAGGAATACATTATCTTTACAGACTATGCAAATACGAAAATGTCGAGAAAAATTAAAGTTGGCGCCTGATAGATAGTACCGGTGACCCCAGAGCCAGTGCTTTCCTCAACGAAAGTATTGCAATTCAGCGAGCGAACCAAAGTTTTTAAATTTGATTTAATTTTCAATATATCAACTTTTAATTTTTATTATTACCATGTAGATAGACACGTAACATTTTAAAGTGTAATATACGGAACTATTTCATGCAAATTACCAAGCGAAATCACACCTGTGTGGTTTAAAATTTTATACGCGTTAGATTTTGTTGCATTTTGTTCCGCGTTAAATTACAAGCCGATAACAATTTTCAGATTACAGAGCTAGACCAATTTATATGCAAACGTTATTGTATATTTTATACAACGTGTTATTACTAAGGCAGTTTATACATTGTAAACAGTGTTAGAATAAGAATGATGCGGTGGAACCCTGGTTATTAACCAATGAATTATTCTTTCTATGTGCACAAATTAGACTTGTAATCCCAATGGGGAAACTCCCCATTATATACTACTTACAATAATAGTTTTCTTTATAGAAAAGCAGGTTTGTGAGGCCTTTTGACATACTCTGTCAATTTTTGTATCGCTTTCCTTTTACGAGATATAGATAGGGAAATGGGATAGCCGAACTCAGCTTGGTTGAAAATCGCCCCCTAAGAGGAAAGTATATATTAAGAAAAGTCAAAGTCAAAAATAATTTATTCATATAGGTAACACAATGTACACTTATGTAAAAGAAATATACATTAAATGCTTCTATTTTTACATTTACTGCCAGTTCTCAAATCAAGGGCGTAGAACAGAAGAGAAAAACTGGCAATAAACTCTCCGCCACAGTTTTTAATCGTCAAGTTTTTTGTTTTACACAACGTTTGTAAGGAGCTGCCATTACACCATGTTCCACATGACATCTTAAATAATAAATAATGATAAAATAAAGACTTGTCATGTATCAGCAGGAGGCATTATTAAATAGGGGCACGTACTTACATTCTCGTGGGAACAAAACGCAAATACATAGTCGAAATAACTAACATCACCGCATACACGAATTCAAGTACGACCTGTCACCACAAGTGGTACCCGTTCACGAGTATGTCGCATGGCAGCCCATCGGGCCCTCGCCATATTTTAGGGAGAGAGACAAACCGACGCATGAAAGCTAGGCTACAACCAGGTGATCAGCCTTCTGCGCCTGGCACGCCGTTTTGGGTCTACGTCTAAGGTATACTGGTTTCTCCACGATGTTTTCCTGAACAGAGCTACAGAAGTCCATTCTTGCAGTACTTCGAAGGTAAGACCCCATGTGTTTACTACGCTTAGACTAAAGAGTAAATTTAATTAAGTCTTAGTATCGATCATAACCCCAATAATGCAACACTGCTTAAGTGAGATAATCATTGGGATCAGACAAGAAACTGATTTGCACAAATTGACAGATCTATCAGGTGTATGTCCGAAGCAGGTAGGCCTGAGAAATGCCAGCGGCACCTGACATGGGTCTATCGGGTATCCCGACTATTGCATCCCATTAATACATTCCGATATCGTTCCGGAATCTTTCCTGACCAAATTGACCTTTTGTACCCATCGCGGCTCAGTTTATTATAACTTCTTTAACATTTAATCGATAAAAATCTGTACTTAGTTATGCTAGTGTATTGAGTTAATAGAGCGCATGATAATGAGAATGGCCTCCATACAATAACAAGTTCTGTAACAAGTCAAATAAAACCAATTAGTATAGCTAACTACGAGTATGTAGGTACAGTTATGAATGTACCCATATAATGTATTAATTATCTATAATATAAAAATGAATCACAAAATGTGTTGGTAAGCGCATAACTCAACAACGCCTGGACCAATTTGGCCAATTCTTTTTTTACAATGTTCGTTGAAGTTCAAGAATGGTTTTTACAGCGAGAAAAAATCGAATAATTGCCGGAAAAATCATAAAAACAGCCCTTTTCTTTTTCCCATACAATTATTTTCTAACTAAAACGCAGTCAATTTGAGCTTTATTGCCGTTGTATAAAGTTCATATAAAATTACAAGCACTCACTGTTGTCTAAGCAATGTTGGTGTGTTCCTAACGTCAAAGATCATAATGTGGTAACAGGTCAAAGTACTTCATTTAAGCAAGAATATGAGTGTTGAGTTGCAAAATGATTATTTTTTATTCACAACGCCCTATCACCAGGGTGACGGTTCTGTTCAGGAGAATTTTTAGTCACGACTATAAAATACGTAGGAAAAAAAACTGCCACATTACAAATCTTTATGACAGGACGAAGTCTGTCGGGTGCGCTAGTTGGATATATTTTACTATTATGGATAACAAAACTGCTAAATATAAATTTCTAATTAATTAAGTTCCTAGACAGTTATTACGATTTAATATTTTGGTATAAGAATGCTCAGAGTATATTAAATATAAACAGTGATGTTCCTTTGCTGTGCTCAATGCACAGAGCATTAATGCTTTTAGCATGACAATTGACAGTTGTCAGATAAAATATATCTTTGTCAATAGAAAGTCAATAATTTGTATTGAATTAAACACACGCACACATGTAAATTGACATATGTAATTACTGTAAATCAATCAAATGTGGTAAAATTAAAATTATTAATTTTTAGCCTAGTTTTTAAACTCATCACGTGCCAGACACACTTAAAATATATTACAACAACCAGTAACAAATACTTAACAATACCCTTGCAATATCTTTTTTAGTTACCAGAAATCTGTTTAAACCCACCAGAAAAGAAAAATATTCATTCAGTTTAACACTGACATCGTAAGAATTGCAATTTTCATTAGTTGTTATGAAAAATATTACTATTAAGTTAATTTATGCTACTGTATTTTCTATAGAATTAGAATTAAGTTTCTGTAATGGTAGCGAATAAGATTTTATATTATAATGTGCGCCCTAGGGAATCCGATACCCCAGACATTACGTTATTTATTTCGTAATCGTACAAGTAACATACATTGTATACAACAAACAACAATTATACCACCGATGGAATACATAATATTTACATTTTCAAAAAACATTTATAAAAAACTCAATAAAAATTATACCTAATTCCGCTGTGCTAAGTGATGGAGTGAAAGTGAGGGTGTGTATGTGTGCTCATGATGCAGGGGATTTAGCGCTAAAGATATTTTTTATACTCCTTTTAAGCATATTCTGCGATTAAACAAGTGAAGCTTAAATACTGGTCGTTCGTAGTATGTCCGGACTGCGCGATTCAAAACTCAGTTTTTTGCATAAACTATGTTGATGTGAGCAACATGAAACAAAGCATAATTACGAGTCTGGTAGGCAGAAAAATGGAAGAAAATTACAATTATACATAACCACTAAGACACAAAGCACTTGGCAGTAGAAATACATATTTTTTATTAATACAGGAAAACCGGTGACTATATCGATAGGTACAAAGGTAGATGACAATCTGAAGCATGAGCATTATGGCTGATATCCCGTTCTTGCCAACGACTTCCCTTATCTGCGATAGGCTTTCTCACAGTAAAGGAAAAATGGCAGCGTTCCAAATATTATTGGGACGCCGATAAATGTGAATTGGTACTTTCATTTTTCTCTTGGAATAACGGATTTTATTTCTACAAATTGATTATACAACTGCACGTTTCTACTTTTCTGAATGTTTGTTGAGTATTACAGTTTACTGCTATTAAAATGGGCTAAGTGGCAAGAAATAAAGGACATTTTACTTTACAGTTTACAAATATAACCTAATAACGTAGATGAGTAAGAGAAATTGATAGTACATATACCGGCAAACATCTTGACAAATTTTTCGTCATCATCGTAGAACAATGTCGGATTTGAAAAAATCCAATATCCACTTTTTATGATATTTGGATACTACATTGACTAAATATTACGGCTTCGTTAAAAAAATCTACCTATCTGTGTTTTAAATTTCAAAGTAATCCGTCGGTAAGGTGACGGATTTGATAGAAACATGTGATTTTTCTAGAAAACTATGTAATTTAATGTTATTATTTTTATTTTGTTTCAAAACAAACCCTTTTGTTTGCTTGTTGCCGGTATCTATAATTTCATTAGAACAAAATTTTCTGGACATATATTGGTCTGAAGGAAATTATATACTACATATACACATTTATTGCGTATTTGTTTAGTACATTAGACTAAGTCAGTTATTATATTATTAATAAAAATATAGAGTTCCATTTTGATTAAATATAGAGTCCTACAAGAAAGGAGCGCACCACTTCTTAAAATGCCGGCAACACACTTGCGAGCCATCTGGAAATGTGAGTGTCAGGTAAGCCTCCTGTTCTTTTTTCCCCTATATAAAAAAAGATTTCTTAGTTAAAGAAAAGCAAGTTTAGTTCATAAAAAAACGTTGTTGGTATTTATACGATTTTTAGTATTAGTTTAAACGACTACCCCTCTAGACATCAAGCGACATTATATATATCTGAATATAAAAAATATATCACATATATGAGATTAACTAGAACTTAAATTATGCAAAAGTGATTTAAACACACTATTGAAT